AAGCTTCAAAGCTTCAAAGCTTTTTAATGGTTGTCAATGGTGTAATCGTGAGTGGGTGCAAGATACGTGGGGAGGGGAGGGGATGTGAAGAGAGGAACGTGGGGGAGTGAAATATATGTTAGAGTAATTTTAGGACACTAATTATTATCATTAATTCCCTTAAAATATACATAAATAGTAGTTGGGAATATAAAATATAATTATAGTAAAATTTGAATAGAGAAAGTAATATAGTTTCATATAGTGTATAAGAATGTAAAAATTACTAAATTAAAATGTCATTTGAGCACTAATGGTAAGAGCGAGTGGGGATGTATATGTGAATGTGAATGTAAATAAGGGAAGTGCTAGGTAAACGACGATGACCTTACCTTATTTTGTCTTCTACACTTTGCTCCTATTTGTTGGCGGCCATCTTTGTAGCAAAATTGCTAACTAGTTCCTTCCTCTGCTACACATCTGACCACTGACCGCTCCCCTTCTCTTTCCTACTACGAAAAATAGACCCTTTTTCAATTACTCAGCTTTTTCTCTTAAATATAAACCACAAAATACACCTGGGGTTTCTCCATTCTTCTACACAAGTACAAAGATGTGTGCTTTTTTCCTCAGAAATGGTTCTAAAACCCTCCACCATCTCTGTAAAAACCCTTCCGTTGAACCTTTGAATTTCAAGAATCATATTGTTCATCGCCAACTTCAACATTCTAAAGTCTATTCAAGATTACCTCAATCTTTTTACAGGAAAAATAAGGAACTTGTTGATTTGTCAAATCCTAGTTTTCTGGCTTTCTTTTCAGGGATTTCAGCCTCTGCTTCAAAAGTTGGGTTCGTGGGTTGGTACTTAGAAAAGCTTAACTCTCGGCCCATTCTCACCAAGAGTATCACTTGTGGCCTTATTCTCACTGCCGCTGATTTATCTTCACAGGTACTTTATTCTCAGCAAAGATTCTTTTTATTTCACTGGAAATTTCTTACTTTGACTATTTGTCCTGGTTTTGGCATAATACTTCTGTTCTTGTTTACTATATATATATATATATATATATATATATATATATAGGTTTTAAGATTCTTTGGAAGTAACTTAGTTGGAAAATTCATTATAGTTGAAAAATTCACTATTAGGATTAAGAATCATGTATGTTGTATGAATACATTCTTTGTCATGCCAAAAGCACCCAAATTCGTCCAATTGTTGTGGTTTAGTGATAAAGGGTTTACTATTGCAGAGGTTATGAAATAGTTGTTGCATAGAATTTGTGTATTCTTTCTTTTTAACTTCTTAATCAAACGAGAAAAATGATCTTGACCTCTTTCCTTTCCTCCCCCGGGTACTTTTTTCACTTTAATTAAGCATAGAGCTGAGATAGGGCAAACCGTCGTTCAACCAGAAAAAATAGCTAGGTTATGCTAAGTTCCCGATAGAGTTACTCTTAGTATTAGGTGTAGGATAAGTGATCTTAAACCTATGAGTAAGGACTTATCCCAGCAGCTCTTAGATGTCTCTTCTGCTTCTCAAATTTAATTCATTTCTTTCATTTAGAGAATAGTGCGCTGTAGCAGCTACGGTCTATGTCTATCCATACTGAGCATACCTTTATTGAATCTTTCACCTATAAAGTTCAGAACTAACTTGCAATTGCTTCCTAGTATTTTTCGGTTTCTTTACATTCCGAACTGTTATAGTCTCACGCAAATCCACTCTACCTAACATATGCACTATTCAAAGTCAGTTGTGGCTTCTGATTCATCTTCATCTAGAAGTTCGAACTATAGGACATACACTATTCTTCCTGTTTGTGACCCGTCTCCACTGTGGATCCAAGTGATAAACGCATCTATAAGAATAGGACTTCTTGAATAAATTCATGAGGTCCAACTGCAGCATGGGCTATCATAGAGGAGTCGACTTAGGAAATGACTTAACTTAAATGTCAGATGTCACACTGCGAGATGAGGATGTGACTTGTCTGGTCTTGGAGTGTGCTCATCTTGTTACTAGAATGAAACCCCAACTTGACTCGTGATGAAGACTCCTTCGACTCGCTCGGCCAATGTGAACGTTAATATTAGAAAAAGATGCCTTAAAACATGTTATTGAATTGAGTTAGAGGTCCCTTTCTTTCCTACTACTTGACCTAGAAGTTTATAGATTCTTTCGCCTGGGATTCCCCAAGTAACCAAACCAAAACCTTGTCATTTCACACAGAAAACGGTTTGTGTAGTGTTTGACACAGACGAACAATCAGAGTACATAATTGAGCTTTTTGCCATTATGTCTTTCTGTCCAGCATCACTGGAAACCGCTCTTATGCATCTTGGTCGGTGGTGGACAAGAAAACCCGCCTAAAATTGGAGATTCTATTTTCCTTAGTGTTGAAGGAGCATGGGCTTCTAATCTGCTTCATCTCCTTGCTGATTAGCTATCTTCTAGGAGTAGCTGGAATAAGTACATTAAGCACAAAACCAGCTAGTTTCCCTTATAGGCGTAGTTGTTGTATCATGTATGGTGTAGTACTAGTACCTATAAATCTCACTTGTCAAAAAAGAACCGGTAAATCTTGTTTAACAACACGGCAAAATATCAAAATCTGTTAGTTCTCTGTCATTTTGCTCAACATATAAATATTTAATTTGCATCTCACCTGTCTTGTGCATCATCTGCTCCCCTTTTAGTTTCTCTCTCTATTCTGGTTCACCCGTGGAATAAATCCTTACACGTTCCTAATCGTTTTCCCCGTGTTCTTTGCACTCTCTATTCTGCAGACAATTGCTGGGTCATTGATGACGCAGTATGATCTCGCGCGAACATTGAGGATGGCTGGTTATGGAGCACTAATTGTTGGACCTTCACTTCATTTCTGGTTCAATTTTCTGTCAAGGTGCTTTCCGAAGCGTGACGTCATCACAACATTTAAGAAAATAGCTTTGGGACAGACAGTCTATGGCCCTGCAATTAACTCTATTTTCTTCTCCATGAATGCTGCAGCACAAGGTACAAATGAGTCCTGCTTTTAGATGTTCTGCGTTGCTTTAGTTAAAATATTTAATCAAAGGGTGTACCTTACTGTCATCAACTAAATAAAGTATCAATGGAGTGCTCTAGACATTTGGCAATTTATCACACTCTTGAACCCTCAAAATGAAAGATAAAACTTGTACCAAACTTGTGTGAGAGTGTCGGAGAGGAGGGCGTAGGTTTAGTGACATGAGAGAAACCAACTGCTAACATCTGGGTTTGAGAGATAGTGTACCAAACTCTGTATCACAATTATCTCAGAGGTCATGGACCAAAAGAAGCTACTACGAAAACCAGAAAAAGAAATTTAAAATTAACTAGGAAGAACTGTTTGTTAAAATTGATACAGCATAAGATCTCAGACAGTTCATTGGCAAGCCTTCTTATGCTTCTTTCCCTATTTCCCTTTTTTATTCTTATTTGTCCCTGTCAATTTTTATAGGCAAATGGCGATCCATCATTCATGGTGATTTGGAATTTGAATGTGTTGTCAGTTTTCTTTATTTGCTGAATGGATATGAACGAACTAGCAATAATTGTCAACATCTATTTGAACTCTTTGACTTTTCCTTTTTTTTTTTCCTGATTGGGCATAGACTTCAAATGTTTTTGTCACTAATTCTAATTATTATTGGATGCTACACCAGGTGAAAGTAGTTCAGAGATTGTTGCCAGACTCAAGCGCGACTTGGTTCCCACTGTTGTCAATGGTCTTATGTACTGGCCAATATGTGATTTCATTACATTCAAATTTGTCCCCGTTCATTTACAGGTATGCCCAAGGTCTCATCATGTCTTTTTTCTGTCATTAGGTTCAAATCCCTCAACTCCCAATTTGTAGAAAATGTTCTTTTTTTACCTTCATTTTCAGCAAAGGGCTATGTCTCTATCCTCTCTATAAATAATATATATATATATATATATATATATGTGTGTGTGTGTGTGTGTGTGTGTGTGTGTGTGTGTGTGTGTGTGTGTGTGTGTGTGTATGTCTTTGAGAAGGCAACTAACGAGATGTTATTACTACATTGACAGCCGCTTGTAAGCAACACATTTTCGTACGTATGGAATGTGTACCTAACGTACATGGCAAGCCAAGAGAAAGTCTCTACGACGTGATCCTGTATAAGCAGCTGTATCATCTCTTCTCTGCTAACAATTCAGATATTCTTCTTGCTAACAAACTGGCTGGAGGCATACCGTTGGAGTGATTTTCATTCCGTTGACACGTTAGTGTGGTGGAGAAAAACTTCAGCAGAGGCTGTAGAATGTGTTATTTAATAGTTACTTCGTCCATCATGATTCTTTGTGTAAAATTCAAGTTCTAGTTAGAAATCACATATTCTATATTAGCTATCAGAAAGAGCAATATCTACTGCAACTGGCAGGCATAGTTTTAGAAGATCTAATGAAGATTTTGCGATTGTAGTATCATTCTCTACTGGATTGTAGTAACAATTTTCGATTAAAAGTTCCTCGATTACAATTTACTATTGTACCAAATTGTTCTGAATATCAATGATGCATCTATATATATATATTTTTAAAATCCTTTTTTATTCCCTTTCCCTTTGATTCCCCTTTGTTGGAGTTATTGCTCCTTTGGTGACTCGAACCCACAACTCTGGAGTTATAAGTGGGGACGCTGGCCATTTGAGCAACCCCTCTTATCACGATGCATCTATATCATGCACATGATTCTCTAGTCTTGCTAACTATCCAACTGGAGTAATCAAGATTGTCACCAAGCATTCAAAGTTTAACCCCCCCCCCCCCCCNTTCAGATATATAATTTTGTTTTCTGTTTTATTTGAATTAATTTGTCATCAGAAAATGCCTCCCACTTAGTACTGACCAAGTCTTTATTTGGACTTTGCTCTCCTCTTAGTGGGTTACCATGAGGCCATTTTATCAATGTCAAGAAAGATGTCACATTTCTGTATAAAAACCAGAGCTCCCTTCTCAACTCTGCAATACAAGTTTTCTAAGTTATCTCCTTCTCTTCTCCAATTACAGTTGGTTTGCAGATCAAAATGAGAAGCTTAATGAATCTGCGGCAATGGCCTCTTCTTGCTGTTGCTTTGGTAATTTGCTTAGCAGCCAGCACTGTTTTTGCTGATTACTCTTATGGGTATGCTTCTCCCTCACCTTCTAAGAAGTACTACAAATCACCATCTCCATCTAAGTATGTTGTACCCACCATTCCTTACTACAAGAAACCAGAAAAATCTGCTGAAAGCTACAAATTGCCTGTACCTTCAAAGCACAAATATTACAAGTCGTCATCACCAGTAAAATATTACAAATCTCCTTTACCGGCAAAATATTACAAGTCGCCTGCTCCATCGAAGCAATACTACAAGTCACCATCGCCGGTAAAATACTACAAATCACCATTGCCAGTTAAGTACTACAAGTCACCTGCTCCTTCAAAGTACTACTACAAGTCACCATCACCAGTAAAGTACTACAAGTCGCCTGCTCCTTCAAAGCAATACTATAAGTCACCATCACCGGTAAAGTACTACAAATCACCATCGCCAGTAAAGTACTACAAATCACCATCCCAAACAAAATATTATAAATCACATGCTCCTTCTAAATACTACAACTCACCGCCACCAACAAAATATTACAAGTCACCAGTTTATTACAAGCCTCCACCACCACCAGCGTATTACGTAAAGTTACCTTCATACGACAAATCACCTCCACCTCCTCCTAAATACTACGAGCAATCACCATCTTCTTACAAATCTCCACCACCTCCACCAAAATACAATGAGCAACCATCTTCATACTACTCTCCGCCGCCACCAGCACCATCAAAATACTACGAGCAACCACCAATTAATTATAAGTCCCCACCTCTACCTTATTATGAATCACCACCACCTCCACCAAAGACCTATGAACAATCGCCATCATACTACTCACCTCCACTTCCAACAAACTACGTTAAACAAATTCCCAACTTTGCCTCACCTCCAACACCTAAAAAGTACGAGCAATCTGCCACCTATGTTTCACCTCCACCCCCACCAACCTACTACTAATATTCAAATTGTTCACTTCCATAATTTTCCACAACTTCCTTGACGATTAACTCATTTTCATCCTCCTATTTGGAGCAATTCCATTGCCTCTGCCAATTGTTTTTTGTATGCTTCCGAAGTGATCGGCTTTGCTTGCTTTCTGTTCTTTTCTTGTAATAATTTGTATCTGTATTATTTGAGATTTAAGTAAGATCCTCGAGATCTCCATCTGTTTGGCTCGTTTAGTCAAAAGATTCTTTTGGTGTATTTCTTGAGAATTATATTAATGATTACTACTATCTTCTCCTTTGTCTAATGTTATTTGTGCTAATCGACTGAATTCTTTCCTTTGTCTATAAATATACCTCCTACACATTTATTCCCAACTCTTCGGAAGTATTAATGAACCTTTTATATTAAACCTTGTTAGTCCCGAAAGGTTCATTCACTTAATTGATTTGGTTTTCACTAAACAGATTTTGGTAAATTAATAAACCAAGTTATTAAGTATCAGCTGGTCTAAGTTAAAATTCAATCAAAGAAAACTTATTTGTGGTGACTTTAATTCAAGGAAAGATTCTTGTTATTAAAGAAATCAAAGTCTTTGATGGCAATTAGAAGAAGAGATGCTGCAATATTTCAAGAAAGAATGTGCTGAAAAATCAGTTAAAAGCTGCAGGATGTGAGAAAGAATTCCAATGAAAATTTTCCACGATCGTGACAACACAAAATTCACAAGAATTCCAATATGTCTTTGAAGTTTCTTTATCAGATCTCTGAGGTTGAGAGACATCATCCCTCGTTGACCAGAACAGAGATTTACACATCAAGTAGTTAGGACGAATGGTTCTACATTATATTTAGGAGTCTTAAGATCTATGCACTGACTGTAAAAAGAGTTACGCTATCAATCACTTATAAGGAAATTACAAGTAAATCTCTGATAAACATCAATTTGTAACATGATAAAATAAGTAACATGCCATCACACGTTAAACTACACGCATATGCAAATAATCGTTATACTGTCCGTCTATAGTAACTTTTTTTTATGTATCAAGATGGAGGTGTTGGTCAATGTACTAAAGGAGTACAATTGCACCAATATGTACAATGTTTAAGTTTATCAAAAAATGAGAGAGAAATCCCAATAGTCCCATAGAGTGTGAAGGAACTCAAAAATGCAATTGAAGTACAAGCATTTATATACAGGTGTGTGTATAACTGTTACTGTGTTCTCAAAACAACGAGTGTTTCTTTCCTTCCACATTACCCATAGGATGCGAGCAGGCATGGTGCATCAGAATATCTTGAGCTTTTATCCGTTTTTTCCTCCCCAACCAGCTAATGAGAGCTTGCCTTAGTTCTCCTGGTATAGTTGATTTAACCTCAAAGAGACAGGATCCGTAGCAATACCTGAGTATTTATTGAGCAGTGCAAAAAGTGATCATTGATATCCCCCACGAGTTACAGGAGCAAAAGTTAACATCTGCTGCACAATGTAAAACCTCTTCTGTGCAGATCAACTAAGCCAGGCAACTGACGATGAACGGACAACCTTGAGGGGAGCTATACAACAATAACAACAACTTCGTGTTAGTCCCAAGCAAGTTGTGGTTGGCAATATGAATCCTTGTTGACCATGTCACTACATTTACAGCTGAGCCTCCACTCTCACTGCTCCTCGTATAGCTATCCTCCTATGCGGTTTTTACATCTACAATATTAAACACGCAACAATAATCAGCTATTAGATGGATGCATAAACATAGATAGAAGAAAGCTCATCTTCATGTTGTGGAGGAATTATGAAGACGGAAGAGATGAGTCTGATATTTAATGTGCTTACCTTATGGAGCGTGTTTCTATTACTTTTGAGTTCAAATTTATTCGTGTACACAGAGAATTTCTTAGATTGCCTTTGTTGCAAGGCAACACAGAGTTTCACTTGTGCGTGGGTGTGCAGAATTCTGAAGCTGCAACAAGGCTGTCAGAATATGTGCATACATACCGCAATAAATGTTTAGAGCAAGTTGATGTAGAGAAGTGTTAACAGTAAACGTTTAAAGCCACTTCTTCTACAATCCGACGGTAGCCAACAGGAAACTTTCAAAGTGCTGACAACAAGGTGAGATTGAAAATAAATAAATAAGAAACTATACCATAGCTTGAAGAATGAATATAGACTTACAGAAGACTGCCAGAAGCAGCCAATCATTGAACTGCGATGTTACCTTTTGAAGCCAATACTGGAATCATATCACGTGAAGGCTTGAAGCCATCAATCAGGCATCGCATTGGCCAAACTCAGTTCAAACTCAAGAATTTAAGGGCAAGAAGTGCATACCTTGACCTCAAACATTTAAACGGCTTTGTCATTTAGATGGACTAGAATGAAGGATGAAAAAGAAAAAAAGCCCCACCAACATACAGAAATGCACTAACAAGCAAACAACCAAGAAAGAGTAACAATTTGATATGCTAGCGACAGAAGACTGCCAAAAGAAAATCATTCTTTGAAACATGATGCTAGAAAGCAGCCAATAATGGAAGTGTCACTTGAAGCCACTGATCAGGCATCACATTGGACAAACGTCAGATCAACCTCAAGAACTTTAAGGGCAAGAGTGCATGTCTCTCATATTTTTTCGTCTGTACAGGAGGAATGCACTTAACACTTCAACCCAGGAACAAGAAATACAATGTCCTCTTGACTTGACATAGGAAAAACAATCGTTGCCTTTATGTCGCAAAAGTTGATTCACGAAGAGACAGAAAACAGGAAAAAGCTTTGGGAAAGCACTCATTAATGGTTAGAATTTGGGTCACTAGCTAACTTCTCAGTCTTACAATAGCACAAAGCTGTTGGAACTATATGCTTTATTTCATGAAAAAGTTTCATAGAAAACCCGATCTGTAAAATGAAAAATAACTTAAGACCAAAAGCTCATTAAACAATATCTATGAGTAATTTATGTAAACATGTCCCTCAAAGGACAAATCCTCCTAGAATACAAATCTCACCCCACGCATATCCGACAACTTCCTACAATATTCACATGCTTATTCCTTTGACAATTCTAACGGATTCTTAATTTCATGAGAAATCATGACAAGGACCTCATCATCAAATTAGACGCAAAAAGCCTGAAATCTCCACTTATCCATCAGGTAACAAGTTGATAGCGATGAGCTGTTTATTCAGAAGCGCAAGCACAGACCTTCTCAAGTAGTGTGGACCAATCTCCCCCAAGTATACGAGGATTTCTCTCCATTGCCACTCGAAAATCCAACATCCTTGCACATGAGGATTTTATTTGTCTTTCTGTATGATTCCCAGGATATTGACCATACCATCCAGGCAGTATTTGGGCATTACGATGTCTGACGCATTCATTTCTATGTTGTGAGCCAGCCAGTCCTATGCAAGGTTCAATCAGTCTTTTCAAGAATGCATCTAAACTATTATTTAGCAGGTTAGCACAGTCCAATGATATGCCAAGCCCCTCTGCCTCTAACTTCCGCTCCAAACGGCTTCTTAGAGATCTACTGTCAGGCAATTCTCCACGGTTTTGACAAGTCTCCAGACTAAAGTTATATATAGATCCACTATGGAGAGCTTTTCGAGCACCACCTGCATTCACAGAAATTCCAAAAGGGGCAGTGACAGGGCTTCTGCTTTGTATGCTTGGACTTCCAGCATATTGTTCAACTTCTTCCCCATCTTCTACAGACGCAACTTCAACTGGAGGTCTGCTACCAAGAGAATGCAATTCTGTGGCACTTTCCTGTTCTTGTATCCGAGGCGTTGCTTCTTCACAAGTAATAGTAGAACTCTTCCCAAGTGGTCCAAGAGGACTAGGACGGTCCCGGAACCTTTTGTCTCTACTAACCGGAGACCTGGTTTTGCGAGGTGATGAGGGAAATGCATCACCATAGAGAGACTGCAGACAACTCCTCTGATAACCATTCCCGACTTTGATGCTGAGAGATTCTTCAACCTTTTTAGGTTTCGGTGGAGGAACCTTAGCCAAAGAGGCATTCTTCAATATGGATAGAAGAAGACGATTATGTAGGTGGATATTCTCTCTTCCAATAGTTCGAATGCAAGACTTGTCGAAGTCAACCTTGCTCAGTTTTGAACTAAAAAATCTTCTAAGCTCACTGAAGTACTTTTCAGCTCTCTGCTGTCCAATCTTCCTACATATTAGATTTCTGAGCTCTAAGGTATCAACTCGAGTATAATGGTGGTTGGTCACCATTTTCACTTGAAACTCCTAACACACAAAATGCCAAGACCTTGGTGAATTTCAGCAAAGAACAGAAATCATTTACTACCAGATACCCAATAATGCATTTTCCTAGTTTACATTTGTAAAAAATTCAACTTTTCAGGACAGATCAAAGGAAGGTAATTAAGCTTGAAAGTCCATATTTAATTACCAATTAACAGAATCTATGAATTAACTAGACCAAGACAATGTCGGCAATCTTTGCTAGCTCCAAATTAATATATGAAACCAATATGCATTCAAGATGAAGTTTTTACCCAAATTTAGTAATTTCAAAGTACAATTAACCTCTATGAACAAAATTAAGATTAACCATTTGAGATTACTATCAAACGAAGTAAATTTATAAGAGAAAAGGAAGCTGAACCCAAATTCAGATTAAGCGATCGAGGATCATAAAGAGCGAAAGCAGAGAAGGATTAAGCAAAGAATAAAAGAATCTAACTAAAACTAAAGACAATTTTAACATTTAAAAAGAACTAAAAGAAACCCTTTGATGATTAAACGAGAAGATTAAAACTCAATTAACGAAATTGAATTGAATTAATGGCAGGAATGAAACAGAAACAGAGAATAGGAATTGACCTGCGTGGGTCAAAACGACGTTCAAGGTGTTCACTCAAAGCTGTCTTTTATTTTATTTTAATATCTGTTTGAGGTATGCTTTTGCGATCTTGTCTGTCTTTTGTACTACTAATTTTTGGTTTATTTGTTAATGAACATAAGGCAAACACGAACTATTTTCTTATGTATAAGCCTCAATTTCGCACGTGCGGTTTTCTTACGTCATGTCTGTAAAATGAAAGTGAATGATCACGTCTCATTAGGCCGTGTTTGGCTGTTTTGTGTAAAGATCAACACGGTCCCGTTTTCTTCCTCAACTAAATGGCGGCAAGTTTAATGGGGGTTTTATGTATATTTGGAGAAGTTTTTATATTAATACCCCTTAATAACTAATTTTAAATAAACTACTTTGCTTCCATTTGATCCCAAAGTAGTATCTATATGTTGTTTACTTGCTTCAAATATATCTCTAATTCTAGCATTTCTCTACAACTCTAGCCTATCACATGGTAAATGGTTCGCCATTTGTTGACACGTTTCTTTTAAAATATCTGCGTAAATCACATTTCAAAGCCATATCGAAATACGGTTAAAGAAAAGGGAAATAGTCCAAATAATGTGCTTCTTACTTGTGTCAGAGAAAAAACCCTTTATTTTTATATAGTAGTATAATTGATCAATGCTGTTGACCTTCTTCAACATGTATGATTTGCTAAAATTGTTTTCTGTAAGTAGTAATACAAAATAAATTATCTGATGTTAATATTCTTATTCAACAGTTTATACATTTCACAGATACCTAATTAGGTAACGTACTGAGTTAAATAGATACGTCTTCACCATATGCAAATTAATGATGAGTCTTCTTTCTTTTATGGCATATATCTTAGTTAGCTTGAACTTTCTCTGAATCCCTTCTGATCCAATTGTAAAATATATGAATGTCTTCTACACTAGTTCTGAACTTTCTATTGTCGATGTTTCAGAATCTTGAATTTTTTTCGACTCCGCAAGTAGGCTAAGAAATGCTTCATCAGAAACACCTTGCTCATGCGCTTAAGGTCCTCCATATCATTAGGTGACAAGTTTGTTTCTTCTGGTCCAAGTTATTGCTCTTCGCAAACAAGAAAAGATGCCAATAACTATGGTTTAGCATGTGATACTCTACATACTGCATACAACTCGCAAGAGCAAACATCTCTTTGAAATACATTTTGGTCTGTAGCTAAGATGAAGTGGAACTCTACTATTCTTCTAGGTTTAGTGGAAACTTGAAGCTCTAACATCCATGAAAAGGTCTTGTGAACTACAAGTGCTTAAGCATTAAAATTGTCGTACAATATGTGAAGGATCGATCAATGGTAAATCTGTCAAACCTTGAATCAAATATAGAAGGAAGCATTCCCATTTCACTCATTCCAAGAAGCTGGAAGGCATCACTGCTCGTTTCAGCTTTAAATAACTCCATATTAGTCATTGCAGCAGCAGCCTGGATCCACCATTTGGTGAGAAGCCAACAATCAGCATTCAACTTCTGCAAAACCATCAGTCCACTCACTAGGAATTGAATCCAAAGCTCCTGTTGCTGAAACAAGTGAAATAAGATATGAAGAAACCACAAAAACAACTGGCCTAAGCAGTGCCTGTGGAAACATTCCACCAGGGTAGTCTACCTCCCCTGCTACAGCACTGGCCTTCCCAACACATGGTATTGATGTATCCCCTCAATTCCACCTTCTTGAAATCCACAATAGACCACTGACTTAGCTTAATCCCAGGAATTGAGAGAATTGCCATTACAGGAAATCAAAAAAGTGAAAAACTTGCAATAAAATAGCTGAAAACCTAAGAATATGCAGGCCTCTATCATTCAACTATTGCAGAGATTGTAAATCTCAATATGGATGGAATTCTTCCGATGTAAGTGATTAAAGATGGGAATTGAATGTTTCAGGTGATCCAGGAACAATATCGGGTAAATAGCATAATCTGTGACACCATTAAGTCATTTCCAAAAGCCTTCTTAAAACCCCCAGAAAGGGCCCAAGCTGATGAAATCCAAATACATATCCACCGTTTTCAGGAAAGCAGCTGTAACTAGAGCTTCAGATATGCTCAAAAATAAAGGAAGAATCAAGAAGCCAAGCAAAGATAGCACCAAAGGGCCAACAATGATCTCACCGAATCTTCAACACCTGAAACTTCATAGAGAATCAAAGCATAAAAGGCAACAAAGTTAACTTTGGATTTGTCATATTACTTGCATTGTTCTTGGTATCATTCACTGTTCCCTCCTCATCTATCCACTGATAATCTGAAATGGGAAGTTGAAGTCTATGAAGAAGCTCCACTTGCCATGGATGTGGATCTACTTCAGAGGAATTATGAATGGATAAACTGCATGTCTCAAACTAACTAAGGTTTGCAAGCTGCAGCTGTTGAAGTTTGGCAAAATGCCAAAGTCCCACATTGGTTGGGAGTTAAGTTTGGGGGGGATTTTTCCCCTATAAAAGAAGGCCTAATGTTTAGGATTGAAACACACCTCTCATTTGCCTTCTCATCTGTTTAAGGCATTTGTATCTTCTCTCTTTAGTATTATTTCACTTGTATTTTTGGAGTGGAATAAAATATTTGGTTGTGTCCGAGGAGTAGGCAAAATTAGCCGAACCTCGTAAATTCTGGTGTTCCCTTTATTATTGCTTTATTGTCTTATTTATTATTTGGTGGTTGTCATAATTTTTGGTATAGTAGTTGTGACTTATTCACACTCTATACATTTGGCTTCCGCAACAGCAGCATCCTTTCAAATGATTCAGAAAACTGTTTTAAGTACTATATATTGGTCCCCCAGGATTCAAATTCAATAATATGAAATGGTTGCTCTGATGATGAAACAATTTGATCATGGAGCATATGAGTTGAAATGAATTAAGTTCTGAGTGCCAACAATATGTATAGAACAATAGAACATCAAGTATTTTTTTTTCTTCTTTTTCTTTCCCATCCGCAGAGAAATCGGACAAAAAATTATTTATTTGGTTAACAACTTGAATATATAACAGATTTTAGAGAGAGAAAAACATCATTGGTGACAGTCACAACAGAATCCGAAACAACATAACAGGAACAGCCGTTCGTTACTTAAAGTTAAAAGTAAGCTCCACATTTCCAGCCCAACTACAAAATCTATTGAGATAACACTGTATTTATTTTCTTTCTTTGTATTCCTCCAGTAGTTTAGGTGTAGCTTAGTTTGTTAATCAGTTAGTTAGTTAGTTAACAGTAGCTTAGCTGTCAAAGTAGTTAAAGTTAGTTAGTGGAGTAGTATCCACGTGTATATATACATCCCTTTGGGATATCAGAAATACACGATTTCATTCTCTCATATCTGAGAATCAAGTCCCCATTCTCTCTTAGCTCATGCGAAGCTTCTGGAGTTCATCAATGGAGTCTCTAGTCGAGAGTGAGATTCGATGTCCAAATCCGCAAATTGACAAAATCAATACCTGCCCACAACTTCAGACTCATATAAATCCCAGTGCAGATTAGGTATATGCCTCATATTGGAAAAATGTGTCCTAGTCGAAAATGCCAAAAAGTATCCTGAGAATATAAAGGATTTTAAGAAGAGACAGTACTCAGAAACAATTTTATTTATGCACAAATCTGATTGTACATTGGTGGAGGTAACGACAAACTTATCTATATACAAATTCTTGGTATACTGGAATGAACAGAAGATGTAAACGCTGAAGTGGAAAGGCAGGCATCATGAGGCAACTGCAACACGTATAGTCCATTTGTAGCTTCACTTTTTCTTATTAAAATGTGCAGGAAATCCATGGATCTTGTAGCATTTATCAATAGTGTGACCTCGTTTCTTACCGTAATTGCACTCAACATTCATTTCTCTAGCACCATTCTTCATTTTCTGCCCAGATTCCACTTCCCTTTGCAAGCTCTCTTCTTGAAGAAGCAGAGAGTACGCTTGATAGAGCGATGGCAAGGGGCTCATCATCAAAATTCTTCCTCTAACCCTATCGTAAAACTGATTTAGCCCCATAATTGATTGAAACAATTTTTTATCTTTTTCGGCCATGTAAAAGTGCAACTTAGCACCACATTTGCACTCACGGATACATTTCATGTGTATATTCAAACTATATAATTCACTCCAGATACTACTCAATTTTGTGAAATATGTAGCTATGCCGCTGCTTCCCTGTTTCAGTCCTACTAACTCCTTATATAATCGGAACATTTTGAGTCCATATGGTTCGTCAAACCTCAATTCCAACTTATGCCACGTATCCTTAGCAGTTTCTGAATATATCACACTAGTTGCTATTTCATTAGATAGAGAATTTGATACGGAGTGAAACAGAGAAGCTTGCGGAAGTTGTACACGGTCATTTAGTTAGGATTTCTGAGTTTTAGAAATGTTTATTTCAGTCCCTTACCTTTTAAATTAGAAGTTTCCTATATTACGCATTGACCCCTTAATTCCCTTTGTCCTATACCAATTAGGTCTTGCCCAAAGCTGTACTGAGATGACAGATTTAGCATATTATCCGGCTGTAATTCTTAGGTCATTCTCATGAGTTTATACTCTATATAGGTTGTAATTATCCTCTTTAAGGTTATGAATGAAAAACCTCTTTACTTTTTGCCCTATTTTATCTTGTATTCTCTTTTCTTTTCTTTTTTTCTTTTCTTTTCCATTTCTGTCACTGTTTCTTTGCCCTGCGTATCAGAGCATTTTCTTGGCTCTGTGAACAACCATGGCTGATAATAATAGTAACGTTATGGAGGTGCTCAAGAAAATTTCACTTGATATGTCAAGCTTCACAGCTAGACAAGATCTGTTGGAAGCAAACCAAGAGCAGAGTAACAGGAATCAGGAGGAAGCTTTGAGTGAGCTTAGAGAAGTGCTCAACGGAGTTATTCATGGAGGTAAGAGGCCAGAATGTGACAAATCTGTAACTCAAAGTGGAGGTGAGATCTACTCTCCGAATGATAACCCTTTGGTTTTGATGATTTGGCTTCCCCTAGTTTCCATGGAGCTAGTACATCTGCAATGGTTGTGAACCTCCTTGCTACTAGCTCAGCCCCTCTTAGCACTCAAGCT